AGGGTCCCAGGTATGATTCCAGTCAAAGGTATGTACCTTGGTTGTGGGCATATCTCCAGTGGGGGGTGTGCAGGAGGCAGCTGATCGATGTTTCTTTCTCATTGATGTTTCTAACTATCCCTCTCTCTTCCTCTCTGTAAAAAATCAATAAAATATATTTAAAGGAAAAAGAAAAGAAATAGAAGGCATCCAAATTGGAAAGGAAGAAGTAAAACTGTCACGATTTGCAGATGACATGGTACAATATATAGAAAACCTAAAGATTCCACAAAAAGTTAATCCACTTAGCATATTAGCCTTTTATATGTACAGATAGTACGTACTGAGGTCCTAGCCACAGCAATCCAAAAAGATAAAGAAATAAAAGCTCTAGCCAGTTTGGCTCAGTGGATACAGCATCGGCCTAAATGATCCCGGGTTCGATTCAGGTCAAGGGTGCATGTCTGGGTTGCAGTATCAATCCCCAGTTGGGGGCATGCAGGAGGCAGCCGATCGATGGTTCTCTTTCATCATTGATGTCTCTATCTCCCTCTCCCTCTCTGAAATCAATAAAAATATATTTTGAAAAAAGATATAAGAAAACTTTTACTTTTCCCCTCCTCCCAAAATAGCAGCGGGAAAGGGAAGGCAGTGGGGGAGGTCTTAAATATAAGGCTGATTCAGGTGTTTGCAAATGCCATGTATCTGTGGGGATGTACAATCCATTGGGGGTCTTACTGACCAACACAATTCTTAGACACATAATAATTCTTATTTTTATTGTTTCAAATCTTTTTTTTTATCCTCACCTGAGGATATGTTTTCACTGATTCTAGAGAGAGATGAAGGGAGAGGGAGAGAGACAGAGGAACATTGATAGGTTGCCTCCCACACATGCCCCAACAGGAGGCCGGGGGTCAAACCTACAACCCAGGTATGTGCACTTGATCTGGAATTGAACTGGAGACCCTCCAGTGAGTCCTTGTCCATAAAATATTTATAGGTAGCAGTAAAAGTCCCAGTTTTTGCCCTGGTGGTCAGTGCACTCCCACAGCCAACCTCCCACAGCATCTCCTCCCCAGCCAGCCAACCTCACATGGTCCCTCACTGTGGCCGGCCCGGCCCTAATGGGCCGCAATCGCTGGCCAGGCCTAGGGACCCCACCCATGCACAAATTCATGCACTGGGCCTCTAGTAAAATTAATAAAAGAATTCAATAAAGTAACAGGATATAAAGTTCATATACAGATATCCATCACTTTCCTATACAATCAGACAAAAAAATTAAGCAACCAATCCCATTTACAACTGCATCAAAAATAAATAAATAAATAAAATGCCTAGGAATAAATACCAAGGAGGTGAAAGACCTGTACTCTGAAAACTATAAGACATTGAAGAAAGAAATAGAAGACATACTCATGGATAAGGAAGGATTAATATTGTTAAAATGACCACGCAGATTCAATGCAATTCCTATCAAAAAAATACCAATGACATTCTTTTCAGAACTAGAATTCTAAAATTTATATGGAATCACAAAAGACTATGAATAGCCAACCATGAACGATGAAGAAGAACAAAGTTGGAGGTATCACACTCCTTGATTTCAAACTATACTACAAAGCTATAATAATCATAACAGTGCTGTGGTATTGGCACAAAAGCAGACACACAGATCAATGGAATGGAAGAGAGAGACTACAAAAAACCTTTGCTCACATGGTCAGGATACATACAAACATCAACCAGTGAATGCATAAATAAGTGGAACAACAAATCTCTCTTTCTCCCATCCTTTCTCTCTCTCTCAAATCAATCAATAAAAATGTTTTTAAAAAGAATTCATTTTTTTTTTTTCTTTCCAGAGGCCCGTCCCACTCCTCCGGGCCTCAGACCCTATCCACTGACTGGAGGCAAGAGCCAAACACGGTTAGCTTCCTGATTTAGGGAACCATATGTTGCAGAGGACCCAAGAAAAACCAAGTGACTCTTTAAAGAAGTGGAGGGACACCATTTTAATTACACCAGCGGACACTGGAAATAATTTCCAAATCAGAGTGAAGAAACACGCAGAGGGCTTCACTTTTTATAATCTTCTGGGGTCTTTGTCTTGCAGATATGGTTCTGCCTCCTTTGTGGGCTTACAGGAAGGGCCCCAGGTGTTGAAGTCCCCATGCCATATCTGATAATCTGTCCTGGGGCCAGCGACAATGACCTCTCCCCTCCCCCACCCAGGGCAGTGCACAGTTCAGTTTTTATGGCCTGACAAGCCTTGCAAGACCAGCTTCCTCCTCAGCTTCTAAAAAGAATTCATTTTAAAGAAAACTCTATGCAAAGACCACCAGCTTGGGGTGAAGCCCGGAGGTCTGTGGGCCTCCGGCCCCTCACTATACATCCCAAGGAAGCTCTGCCCCGGGTGTAAGAGCATCACCTCGCTGTGCATAAACTTGACAAAGCCGCGTGGGCCTGTGAACACACAGGTCTCTGGGTCCCACTTTAGAGTAGTATGTTCCAAAGAAAAAACACGGTTTGAGAAGGTTGGCCTTAATAATCCAACACGGCTCCTGCTCAGCCTCCTACCCAATCCTCAGACACAGCCAGCTGCTGCCATCCAGAGCTTTCTGGACACCCTGACACATGCACAGTTCCTGTTGTACTACCAGCCCGACACACTTGGGTTCCTCCTCCAGGACCAACATGAGGGCCTGCTGCCTGGATCTCTGGCCCACCAAGCAAGCTCAGACCCTTTCCCTTGCCTACCTCATACCCAGAACCCAGTCCAGTGGTCAGAACCCACGCTGCCTTGAGGGAGGTGGCAGGATGTGGCCCGTGCCATTGCAGAGCAGCAGGGATGGGCTTAGGGGGGCAGTCCTTCAGCACTGCTCTAGAAGCTCTATTACCACCCCCACTTCACAAATGAGAACACTGAGACACAGAGGATAACTGTAGGACACCCGAGGGAGACTAGAACAAATGACCACACATGGAGGCTAAAAACAACAGGTATCTATCCTCTGAGGTCTGGAGGTCAGAAGCCCAAGATCAAGATGTTACAGGGCCATGCTCCATCTGGAGGCTCCAAAGAGGGTCCTTTCTTCCCCTTCCAGCTTCTGGTGCATCAAACATCCCTGGGCTTGTGGCCACATCACCCCATCTCTGCCTCTGCTGTCACATGGCCGTCTCCCTGTGTGTGTCTCAAATCTCCCCTTCCTTTTTCTGTAAGGACCCCATTGGATTCAGGGCCCACCTCATCCAGATCATCTCATCTAGAGATCATCAAGTGAGGATATCTGCAGAGACCCTATTTCCACATAAGGCCACAGTGATCTGAAGTCCCATATGGGTGTGAATTACAGGGGTACAGGACATTAACAACTTGCCCAAGGTCACCAAGCTACTAAGAGGCATGAGTGAGATCTGACCTTGTCCATACTCTGATCCCTCCACAGCCAGCCTTGAAGGGTGTGACCATCCTGATGTGGGCATGGGCCAACCTGCCACACAGCCCCCTCAACAGACCCACCTCCTCCAGTCCCGATGTCCCACTGACAAGACAGGAAGGTCAGGGGCTCACCTCCCAGGCTACCTGGAGCAGGGCATGGCTGTGGGAAAACATGCTTCAGGCTCCCAGAAAGGAGAGCACCTGCCTTCCAAACAGAAGAGACAACAGGTGACACCCAGTGCTAGATATAAATGCCCCAAGCTCCCTGCCCAGGGTATTCACAGTCTCTCCAAGCTAGCCCGCCAAACACATTAATCCATGTGCACACTGCTGTGAGCGATTCTGCAGAAAGAATTTAGGTCCCAGGTCAGCTGGCTCTTAGTTCATCAAAAGGGAGATGACCCTAGGTGGGCCTGAATTAATCAGGGGAGCCCTGAAGGGGAAGAGCTCTTTCTGGCCAAAGATTGGACACAGGGGGATTCTCCACAGCTGGCCTGAAGACGGAGGGACCATATGGCCAAGGACCAAAAGCGGCCTCCATCTGTCAGCCAGCCAGGAAACAGCCTCACACTCAGACCCGCAAGGGATGGAATTCACCAACAACTTAGATGAGCTTGGAAGAGGACTCCCAGAGGACTCAACCAATGGCATGTGGATTCCAGCCTCTGAGACCCTGAGCTGAAAATCCAGCCACACCATGCTCAGACATCCTACCCACAAAACTGTGAGCCAATCAATAGGCATTGTTTTAAGCCACTGAGTTTGTAATCATTTGTTGCACAGCAGTTTTTGTTTTTGTTTAAAAACATCCCTTGCAAATTCTTCCCATTTTGAATGTGCTGGCTGGAGATGTGAAAGCCATCTTGTGACCATAGGCCTTAGAATGAAAACGGTTAAACACTCAGGATGGCAAAGAATTAGAGACAGACAGAGCCTGAGTCCCTGCGATGTCCCTGTGAGAGATTATTGGATGTGGTCCTCGGGGAGCCACTGCTCTACTTCTCCCCCTTTGGAATCAAGTTGGCCTTATACGCGGCTTTGCACAACAGGACACAGGGGGTAACATTCTGGGATGGCTGACAATAGGTATTAGCAAGCCCTATAGCATCCACCCTTCTCTGAGGGAACCCAGACACTGTGTGAGAGGCCAGGCTGGCCACAAGGAGAAAAAGGTCTGTGAGTGCGATTACCACCAGAAGAGAACGGGGTCTCAGAAAGAGAAGTGAGCCCAGCCAACGTCACAGAAAAGAGAGACCTGTCAGCCCCACCAGACCCACCCTTAGGAGCCATCCTAATTGGGATATCAGATGCATGAATAAGGTCAGGCTGGCTCCTTCTGTCCCCACCAAACCACATGAGCAGAGGTGAGCCACCCCCACTGAGCCCTGACCCACAGAATCAGACAGAAACAATTGTTCTTCCAGGCCTCTAGGCTTGGGGGATATCTGTTACTCAACACCAAATAACTGGCAGAACAGGCCCTGATGAGGCTGCTGACTGCTGCCCCTGCACACACACTGAAACACATCTCCAGGCCTGTTCACAGAGTGCTCAAAGTTTTGCTTCGTCAACTGACCTGTGACATCCAGATGGAAGGTGACCCTCTGGCCTCCGGCCTCGCAGCTGTACTCCCCGCTGTCCCCCTTCGCCGCTGCAGCACCAACCAGCCGCCGGGTGCAGCCCGTGGCCTCCACGCGCACTTTCGAGCTCCCGCTCAGCTTCTTGCCATCCTTGTACCACGTCACCTGCGTCTGAGCCTGGGCCACCTCGCAGCTCAGTGTGGCACTGGCCCCGGCCGTGGCCTTCACCTCGCTGTGTGCCGACTGCTCCTTGGCAAACACCACCGTGGGCTCTAGGGACAGGGAGGGACGCACAGGGTCAGAGACACAAAACTCATAGAAGACTATGTCACGTTCACCACAGCTTCAGAGGTGCGTAAAATTTCTCCTTGCACTTTGTGCCTTGTTGAGTATTTGTCCCTGATGAGAGTCAGCATTGTGTTTACAAAATGTCTCCTTTAATGGAACCTTAAGTGTGTATTACAGAGCGTGTTGACTTAGAGAAATTTCTGAGACCTGAGGAAGTCAGTCAACACTATTCTGCCACCTGTCACTGCATGTTCATTGTCTTCCCTGTGTGACAGTTAACTCTTGCGTGCAACCTTTTTTCTGTGTCTATGGGTCATGCATGTATGCATATAAGGTCCTTAGTTGATTACTTCCCTCCCACCAACACTCCCCCGTCTTCCCTCAGAGATTCCCCACTCTGTTAGATGCTTCCACTTCTCTTGATACACTCCATTCATCTCTTTATTTCCTGCTGTCCTGCTGACAAAAGTGGTGACTGTGAGCCCCGCCGCCTGGTCCCTGATCTCATAGGCACAGCTTTCAGGTGTCACTTAGTGTGCTTAAGCTGGATTTCCTTCAGTGTCATTTATCAGAAGAAGGATGAACCGTTTGATTTCTAATTGGTTCAGAATCTGCGGCATGGAGAGATATTGATAAACTGTTTCTTCCACATATTTGACATTAAATGTTATCAAATTCAACTCTGCATTGATGAGGCGATCGCTTCATACTTTAGTTTCAATCTGCTCACGTCATGAGGTATGTTGATTTGCTGACCTTTGTAGTGCTCACACACCCAGGCCATGTCTTTCATTATAGTGCATCGTCCTCTTAATACACTGCCGATTCACTTTGATTCTACTTAGCTTCACATTTTGGCCATGGTCTCCACAATGCATTGGCCCATACTTTGAATTCTCCCTATCAGATGCTGGTGATAGATGTCATGCTGGTGCCACGTAATAAGCCAGGGACTGTATTTCCTTCTCTAGCTCTAAAAGGATCTCCATGAACAAGCAATAATTTCCTTACAGAATAGTTCATACAATTTTCCAGTGGGGCCATTGGGGTGTCATCTTCACCTATAAGAACTTTTATTTGTGGTTCCATTTATTGAAACCGTTGTAGGAGTATTTGAGATGTCAAATCTTTTGCCACTTTTCATGAAGTTTTCTAATAATTTGGTCAATTTCTCAAAACTTTTCACATTTACTCCTACAAAATAATTTGTCATATTCTCCTAAAGTAGCAATTACAAATCCTTGGTGGATTTTTTTTGTATCTATACACACCCACAAGCTGTTTTACGCACTTATAACACCAAACTGTTAGTTAGAGGCACCTGGATGTCGAATTGAGGTTAAAACTCTCCTAACTAAATGAAAATACAGTTAGTTCATAGACATCTCTGTGAACACCATGGACAGGGACAAATACACATGTGTCCTTAGGAAATACTATGACATAAATACTGACTCAACAATCAAGGGCTATCGCTATAGTTACTTGTCTTCAACTAGGCGTGCGGTGTGGGAGAAGCTCCTTATTCCTCTCCATGTCCCAATCTGGTATACGTCAGAGTCCCAGGGGATTCTGACACAGGACTCAAAAAGAAACCGAGATGTACTTTAGGAGGAGAATTCCAGACCTCCCAGGTACAGGACCCCGACACACACGTGCAATTCTCTGGTTTCTGTGTACTTTTTTGCACAGACCTTGCAAGAAAACACGGATCTAGATTTTGCGACAAGTGAGGATCCAGTAACTTCCTGCAAAGGAGTGCCCTAAGAAACTACAATTTGCTAACACCCTGTTCACTCTGAGATGGATCCATGTAAGATTGGGTGGCAGGAACTTCCCCACATTCTGTTGTAATGAAATTCAAACGTGGCTCTGCCCGTGTTGCTGGCCGTGGGCATTTGGGAGCTACCAGGACTTGGGGAGTAGGAAATTCACATAACACAGGTAAGAGACGTCTGGTCTACCCCAGAGTCCACGTGAAAGGTAGAGCCCGAGTCCCGGCTGGAGAGGGGCACCCGGAAGTGTCTGGCAGGTGCTGGGAACTATGACTGAGCAAAACCTGAGCACCACTCAGCTTGTACAGGAACACCTCTCCCTTCTGCTCACACTCTGCCCACCCAGCCTGGTCTGGCCCCACCACTGGGATGATATGGGAGATGGAGGATAGAAGGCTAAAGAGGTGAGGTCCAGTGGAAAGAGCCCCAGGTGTGTCCGGCTGGAGTCATTACCTACACACAAGGCTAAGTTAGTGCCACCAAAGAACCGACCTGGGACATCGAGGTTGAAGGTGACCTTCTGGCCCCCGGCCTCGCAGCTGTACTCCCCGCTGTCCCCCTTCGCCGCCTGCTGCAGCACCAGCCGCCGGGTGCAGCCCGTGGCCTCCACGCGCACTTTCGAGCTCCCGCTCAGCTTCTTGCCATCCTTGTACCACGTCACCTGCGTCTGAGCCTGGGCCACCTCGCAGCTCAGCGTGGCACTGGCCCCGGCCGTGGCCTTCACCTCGCTGTGTGCCAACTGCTCCTTGGCAAACACCACCATGGGCTCTGGGGACAGGGAGGGACACACAGTCAGAGGCCCCACAGAGGTTAGCCCTGAAGCCACAACGAGGCTCAGACGCAGGCACCTTGGGTCCCCGTGAGTATCTTTTTGTGATCGGGTACTACAGCACAGCCCTCCCAGGCACAGGGGCCTGACTGGTGCCTCAAACTGAGGGAGGCATAGGGGGCTGGCAGAGCTTCTCCTGGGGGCGAGGAGGGTGCAGCAGGACTCAGAGAATGCACCAAGAGGCCCCATTGGCTTCTAGAAGTAGCCAGGACCTCACAATCACTGAGATCCAAATCTATCCCGCTGAGGATGCTGCCAGCACCTTTTGGGTCCTCTCAGCCTCCTTTGATCTTTAAAAGGAAAACAAGAACTTCACTGTTTCTTCTTACTTTGCATTGTTCATCCATCTCAGTGTTAATTTTGTGGGTAATTTCTTTTCCCAAATCGAAGCAGCTGTCCTACCCCAAGCATTCACATAAGCAATGAAGAGCCTGGCAGCTCTACCTTGCAAGTCCCAGATGCAGCCTGACCTTCTCCCCACCCACCAAGCCCTAGAGTTGCACACTCACCACAGACACGCAGCTGGAAATCCACCGAGTGCTCGCCCACGCGGCATGAATAGGTGCCCTCGTCTTGCCTGGTGACTGAGTTGGTCACCAGTCGATGCCGTGTGCCCACATCCTCCTGTGAGAAGTGCGAGGAGTGGCCGAGCTCCAAGCCATCCTTGAACCAGCGCACGGGCACATGGGCCTCCGCAGTCTCACACTCAAAGTGGGCCGGACCCCCGGCCACCGTGTCCACGCAGCCACCCGCCGAGTCTTTGTGCAGAAAGGGTGTGAGTCCTGCGAGGGCAGCTGGGGGTAGGGGGTAGGCCTATGAGCACACACTAGCAAATGGAGGGTCCCAGGTGGAACCCTGGCTCAGCCCAGCCCAGGGTCCCCTTCATACAGGTCTGCGGCTGACTTCGAGCCACCCAGTGCCATGGACTGTTAGGACTTCCCCACAGGGTCCCTCCCTCTGGTGAACAAAGCCCTGGCCTCCACTTTTCCATGGGGTAGAGGGAGCACCCTCCCATGCCCTCACTGTCCCCATGGAGTCACCTGAGCCTACCCCTCCCCCACCCATAACAGGGGTAACCTGAGCCACAGTCCCCACAGTCACCTGAAAATGCCCCCAAACTTACCCCGCCACAGAGAACAACAGCTCCCACTGCCCTAAACCCCTAGAGCCTGCCCAGAGTTGGGGTACAGAATGCTGTAGCTATAGCAGTGGCCAGAAGGACGTGGACACATGTGAACACACACACCTTGAACTGACAGGTGGTAGGCGATGCGGCCCCCATGGCTGACACACTCATACAGGCCAGCGTCGTCCCGCGCCACATCCCGCACCAGCAGTGCCCGCTGTCCTGCGGAAGCCTGCACCTTGTACTTGGGGCCTGGGGGCAGTGCTCGGCCGTCCTTGAGCCACGTGACAGCCGTAGCCTGGTCTGACAGCTCTGCCAGGAGCTGTGCCTCCTCATGTAGTCGGGCCAGCACCTCCCGAACTTCTGTTGGATGCTTGGTGGTCAGCCCTGGGGACCCCCACAGGTGGAAAGAGGGGGTGTGGAGGTGACAGAGAGTGGAGGAGGAGGAGGGAAAGGAGAGCAGACAGATGGAGACATGAGCCTCTGTGTCATCAGGAGCCCCCAGCCCCTAGTCCACTCATACCCTGTGGCTGAGGATACCCGCCAAGCTGGGCAAGCTGTTTCACATACCCCCACCCCCACCCCATCTGGTCCTGCTTGCACAGGCCACATACCTAGCAATCCACTAGCACACCCCAGGAGCCTTGGGCCTAGGGTCACAGGTCCCACTCCTGCCCCCACCCTTAGAGGAAATAGAACTTAGAGAGTCCCCAGGGGTCATGGGCTGTCGTCCCCCTACCTCGGACCTCCATGCGGATGCTGCTCTCGATGCCATTGGCCACAAACTTGAGCTCAGCACCATGCAGGCTGGCAGGTACTGAGCGGATGGTGAGGACATGCCGTGTGCCCTCGCAGCGGATCACATATGTGTTGCTGGCCTTCAGGGCCTGCCCATCCAGGAACCACTCGCCCACAGAGACCAAAGTGAGGTCCACAGAGAAGGTCACCTCACTGCCCTCCACTGCCTCCACTGCCTTCAGAGGTGTCTTCACAGCCAGCTGGGGTGCTGCAGGGTAGGGGCTTCAGGACAAGCAGGGCACCTGGCCTCCCCTCTTCTTCCCCCCCAGAGTCTAGGCACATGTGCCCCCATCTCCAGGAAGCCCGTCAGACAGGCCCATGGCAACCATGAGAGATGGCAGGGTTCAGGACTGAGCAGGGATAAGTTAGAACCACCCAAGATCCCTCCGGATCCTACACACCAGAGGTGGAGGGTGCAGCTGTGCAGCCTGGTCCCCTGGGGCTGGTGGGCACAGATAGGTTCCTAGGGGCCTCAAGTCCTATCTCAGAGTCCCTTCCCCTTCCCACAGAGGAGGCTCCAACATCAGGACCCTGGTAACTCTCCCCTGCCACCCCCCAACCCCGCCAATAAAGAGGCTCCAAATCACTGTG